TATAAACTTAATAACTGAAACGGGAAAAAATGAAAATTTTTAAAATTTGGTTCATTTATCTAATGTTTTGTATAATAAATGAAACTTTTCTCTTTTTTTGTACCAAAAAGTGGAAATAAATCCTTTTTAATATTTTTGGAAAAGATATTTATTTAGATTTACAATAATTGCAAATTTCTTTGTGCAAAATTAGAGATAGAACTCTTCTTTCAGATCTTAATATGAAAATTGCAGAACAATATTTATGAAGACCTTCAAAAATTTCCTTTACTTTATCAAATAAAAAAAACATCATTAATAATTCAATAGACGCTTTAACTATTTTTCCAAATTTTTTTCCATATCCTCATTTCCTGAAGAAATTTTGTAATCTTTCTTGAAGAAAGATTTTCCGTGTGGTTCTTGGCACAATATTTATTATTGTACTGAATTCAAAAGTTATAAGTTAGTCATAATTTATAAGCAAATGTACTGTCTGTTCAAAAATACTGTCGGTCATGCACCACGAGATTGCGGTGCCCGAAAATATATATTATAATATATATAAAGTGGAAAACTGGATTTCCTTTAGACAAAACAAGTGTAATTATAGGGCTTAAAATATTCAGGTGGATGTTATAGAAAAAGAGGGAGAGAATTTCAGAATTTCACGCAATTTCCGGTGAAATACGCATATCCTGTATGAAACAAGCAAATAGTGAATCAACCCATGACGAGGAAAGATAGAGAGTTTGCCTATAGATGTATATCTTGGTATATGTCAACGTTACCTAAACCCACAGGTGAAACCATATTGTCAAAATTGAGGATGAGGAAAGGCAAAATGTTATTTAACAAACTCATGTTCATTAACTGTAAACGAAAATTTACCGTATAACAGCACAAAATCTACTCAATATCGTAATTCTTGCTTTATCTTGGTTATTATATCTCATATAGCGATTCAAATAATTAACAAAAACAACAAAACTATTTCCATTTTACACTTAAAAAAACAAATTCAATTTCTATGTGATGCATGTGCTTTCTTTACAAACAGTATTTACAAGGTTTAAAGCAACATAAATTACAAATGAGTTGCTGCGAGTGTGTAAAAAGAGTATTAATATATTTATCACTATAATGTAGGTCAAAATATAAATCTAGTATATGATGTGGGTTACAAAAAAATATTCAAGTTGTGCTTATTAAAAAATTTGTGTGTTTATTGAAAAAAATCGCATTTTTAGGACCCAAAAAACGCAACATGATAAAAATCTCTTTAAGAACTTATATTAAAGCTTAAATGATCAACTTTGAGGCTCAAAATTTATCGCATCGAATTTTTTTTAAACTTCACTTGATTATTTCTTAGATTTTTATCTTTATCTTTATCTTCAAAAATTTAAATCAAATACGGAATAGGAAAACCATGTTTATATTATTGTTTACAGATTTTTAATTTTTTGCACCTGTACTAATAGTCAGATTTTGAAAGAAAACTAATAAAGCTTAATTTATTGAACTAAAATGAACTAAAAACTTTTATATAGGAAAATGAAATTTTTTTACCGTACCGTATAAAAGATATATTTAATGTCAAACTTAAAATATTATTGAGAGGCGAATTCGTAAACGTGGCAACAGCGCTTGTTAAATACTACAGCTCGTTTGCTAATTTTGGCGCGAAATTTTAAATAAAGAGAGAAGACGCCATCATATATCAAAACTTGCGACGTTACCACGATTATTTTATGTGCGTGAATCTATGAATATACATTGAGACCTTCAATGTGTGAAACGTCTGCATACGTGCGCAAAAGTTTTTCGGAAACTTACATTCATAATTGCGTTTCATAAGTACAGTCTCATCGGATACAAACTTTTGAAAGTGACCAGTTACGCGACAAATACCTTAAAAGATGATTATATCAATAACGGAGAACCTATTTTTATAAAAGGAGTTTATGGTATAAAAATTGATTTCTGTAATTTGTTACTTAGGTGTTTCTCAAGTTTCTAATAACAAATCGAATTTTAGATTTTTGAAATTTAAAATGGCGTCAAAATATCTGTAATTTACTGACTTTTGAAAATTTTTGACGCTATTTAAAAAGAAGATTTCAAATTTCTTTAATCTAACTTTGGATTTGTCATTAACCTCAGGAACCCTGAAGTAACAAATTTTAAGCAAATCCAGTTATGGAAATTGATTCTTACCATGAGCTCCATATCCGCATCCCAGCTATTTTGACTTTTTAAAATAGCGATTACTTTATAAAAATAGATTCCCTGTGATTATCAATTATATTTGAATTCTGGACTTTTTAGTATATTCTCGTTCAGTGACAACTAAACATTCAATAAACCTAGAGAAAAGTAATCTCGTATTAGGAGGAAAAATTACTTTTTCTTAATAACCTAGTAAAATCAAACATGAATTACGCAGATCGAATATAATTATTAAATTTATAATCGAGAATTTTATGTTATAATAAGAAAAAATAATTAACAAACATTAAAGCAAATATCCCGTTCTATTTTTTCAACTAAATTCTCTTTACATTCAAATCTTCCTTATCTTCGTGACTCTCCAACGTGTTGCATGAATTTTAATCAGAATTCAGTAGACGGAGAAAAATGGCTATTTCGTGATTTCAGCACAAAATATATTTTAGGGACAGACAGACAGGCCAGGGCGGAGGCGGACACAGTTATACAAAAAAGCGCTACTTTATACGTTCAATTCAACTCGAAATATTGATAATTGCATTTTCATAAAATTACATTATCAGGTAGATTATATTCGATATATTAAATCATTGATTAAACGAATAAAACCATTAACATTTAGCTTCATAAAGTAAAATTAAATTTTAAAATCAACTTTTTGCATCTGACTTATTGCAAAATTATTGCTTTTCATCAAATTTGAATTATTTGTAAATAACCAAATAATTTGTATAATAGATGAATTTGCTGGATGTGGAATTGGCAAAGCTTTCGATTGTTGTCCTTGAAATTATCGTAATTTTATTTGTTTTTTAAAATGTCTCAATTTTTATTAATGAACTATTTAATATTTCGAAAACAAAAAAGAAAGCAAAATGATGTCATTTTTAAAAAATTCTTGTCAAAATTTCAATTATTTTCAAAAATTTTCCTCCATTCAATGGTTTTTCAATAACTACTATTTTCATAAAGTTTTACAAAACAATTCAATTATTTAAAAAAAATTTAATAAAATTTTACGGAGAAATTTAATTATTTCTAATAAAAATTAGTTTATAATTTAAATTTTAAACCTCGTTTATACATTTAAATAAATAAATAAATTTTTAGATAATAATAATATTGAATATTAAAAGCATTATGACGTGAATTTTTAGAAATAATTGAATTTTCTAGATGTTTCTATAATTAAAATTTTTGAAAATTTGAAATTTTCATAGTTTTATAATTGTCAATTTTGTTGAACTAATTTTTTTTAAAGACTTTTAATTTCAATTGAAATTTTAATATATATTTAACTATAGTTATTGAAAATAATGGATTTATTGAAGAATTTTAGTTAAAAACAAAAAAAATTGAATTTTGGAGAAGTTACAAATTATTACAATTATTTTCAAAAGTACTTAATAAAATTCTACGCAAACGTTTAATTATTTTCATAAACTGTCAAAAATAATAAAAATTTCACAGAAATTAAATTCTTTACAAATTTTTTGTAAATTTCTTTCCTATTGCAAAAAATTTAAGAAAAATCAAATTTTTTACAGGATTTTAATTATTTTTATACAATTATTTTAATCGAATTTCTAGAAAAATGAAATTATTCTTAAAAATTGTATTAAAATTCGTCAAGAAAATTTAATATTTACAAATTTTTGTAATAAAATTCTTTATTAAAATTCAATTTTTTGAAAAACATTCAGTTATTTAATAAATTATTTATTTTCGTATTTAAATAAATGAATTCTCGTAGAATTTTTGAATAAAAATTTATTTAAAAATGAATTGCAGTTAAAATTTTAGATAATTGAATATTAAAAGCCTTAATGAGTGAATTTTTATAAATAATTGAATTTTAAAAAGGATTCATAATTTTAATTATTAATTTTTATAGAACAAATTTTTTTGAAAAAATGTGTTTGAATTTTTTTGAAACAATTTGAAGTTTTTCTTTTCTAATATATATTTAATTGAAGAATTTCCTAATAATCGAAATTTTGTAAAATTGAATTGTAAACAAATGGATTTAAAAATTGTCAAAGAACTTTTTCAAAAATTTTCAAAAATAATTGTATTAAAGAAGAATTTGAGTTGGAAATTGTAGAAAATATTATTTTGAATTGAAATGATGAAAATAATTCTGAATGTTTTATAAAGGTTTGAATTTAAATATTTTGAAAATAATTTTAATTCCGTTTAAAAAATAATAATGATTATATATTTATATTTCAAAAAGAAGATATTGATGTTTTGAAATTATTTTACAATTAAAAAAATTTGCAAATAAATGTAATAGAATATTCAAACTTTTTTCTGGAACATAATATTTTTGAAAAAGGAAAACGCCATATCTTTTTGAATTCCGTTGACTTTTCGGAAATAATTTTCTTTTTAGTTTATATGAATTAGTTACTTACAATTAGTTAAACTAATTTATATCATGACGATGATTGGCGTATTTTTGCCGCAGTCTATGTGAAAAGTCCGAAATGACGAAGGTCTTCGTTATCCGCAGTCAAGGGGTTAATTATTTTCTTTTATAAAAGCAACTTCATAAAAAAATATTCAAGAAATTATTCAGATTATTCTAAACTACTATTAGACAAATTTAAATTCGCTGTATGATATTTTCAAATGGAAATATTCTTTTATACCAAGTATAATTAACGTTTATTTCTCAAAAAAGTTATAGTTTATAATGGTTAATAAACAATAAAATATATATTTTTCGAAGAATAACATTCACATAAATGTATAAAATAAAATACGTATATAAAAAAATTACTCACAGAATAATTGAAATCCCAGAAATGTCGGAAATAATTTTCAACTTGTCGTCAAGATCATATCTGTAACAAAGAAAAAAAAGTTGTTTTTAATTTCTGTTAATTTTTTATTCTCACATATTTACATTACTTAATATTTATATTTTAAAATTCATTTAATTTTATTAACTATATTTAATATATTAACTATAATATTATAGTTTGTATTATAAGCAGTCAAAAATGACTGCAACAAAACAACAAATATAAAAAAAAAACAACAAATATAAATATAAAATTTTTTTTCTTTTTTCATTTATTTCGTCGAGTAGTCGATAATATTATAAGTCTAATTAAAATTTTGAAAAAAGAACGCTACAAAGTGCACTTTTATAAATATTTTGCATGTTTAATATTTCCTTGTGCTACAGGAAATAATAAACACGATACATTTTACAGTATCTTGAGTGTGTCTTTCTTTATAGTAAAACAAAACAGACGTGACACTCTTCATCTTCCGTGTCCAGTTTTGAATCTATAATTAAAAGTGAAACACCTTCGATTTAAGGTTAAATCAGTTTATTTCCGTTGTACATATATACAATACACGCATGTCATTCAAGTGATACTTTTATATAAACTTAAATAAATTATTATTATATTATAGATAATAACTAATATATTAATATAATAATTTTTATATTATTACTGTAAAAATAGATTGTAACTAACATGATAAATAAAATAATAAAATTAGAACTGTGCAAAATTTGCATTTGCTCTATTAAAAAAATTATCGTGGCACTGAACTGGAGCCTTCCTATAGCATTGTGAGACTTGTGAAAACTTTTCCTTTTGCGAATTTAGAAATTTATTATGTTATTCAGGGCTCGAACTGGGTCCGTAAATTTGCTGCAAGTCCGTAAAAGTCAGTTTTTTTTTTAAAAAAAAGGTCCATAATGTCCGTAATTTCATTGAAAAAGGACGAAAAGTTCGTAAATTACACGGTATAATTTTGGAAATTTTGAAAAAGTTACAAAAATGATTTCAGAAATTCAATTATTTAAAATTTTTTTTTTAAATTCTCGTCGAAATTCCAATTATCTTTATATAAATAATAAAATTCTTCTCCAAAATTCAATTATTTTCAAGAATTTTAATAAAATTCTTGGCAAAATTTCAATTATTTTCCAAAATTTCCCTCAATTCCATGTCTACTATTTTAATAAAATTTTCCAAAAGAACTATATTATTCAAAAATTTTTTTAATAAAATTCTACGTAAACATTCAACTATTTTCATAAACAATAAAAATTTCCCAGGAATTCAATTATTTATAAATTTTTTTTTAATTTCTTCGTAATAACTCCATTACTTTTATATAAATAATAAATAACAAAAATCTTGATAAACTACAAAATTCTTCAGAAAAATTAAATTATTATTATCATAAAGAACAAAGTTCTTCGCGCAGGAATTCAATTATTTTTAAATATTATTTATAAAATTCTTCACAGAAATTCAATCATTTTCAAAAATAACAAAACTTTTAGCATGGAATTCAATTCTTTTCTAAATTTATCATAAAATTCTTGGTAAAAATTCAATAATTGATTTCAAAACTTTTAATAAAGTTCTTAACAAGAATTCAATTATTTTTATAAAGAACAAAATTCTTAGTAGAAATTAATTATTTAAACATTTATTTACAAAATTCTTCGAAGAAATTCAATTGTTTTTAAAAATTGTAATGCAATTCTTGTCAAAAATTCAATTATTATTATAAATATCAAAATTCTTCGCAGATATTCAATAATTTTCGAAAATAACAAAATTTTTAACATGATTCAATTATTTTCAAACACTACATAAAATTCTTCGCAGAAATTCAATTATTTTCTAAACTTTTCAAAATTTTCTTCGCAGATATTCAATTACACAGGCCTGCAAAATGAAACTTTTTTGGGTATAATGAATGCGACAAAGTGTTTCCGAAGGCAAATTTTGCCCTAAACACGAATCCGAGGTCCAAAATGCTCCATCACGTCAAGTTTTTGACAAAAATGGGGTTGAAACCTCTAAAAACAGCGTTTTTGGCACTTTTTGAAAAATTGTGGGGTACAATCCTAACGTGATAAAAAATTCGCTATTATCAGAAATTAAAGCTTAATTCATGCCCTTTCAAATCAGCCCTCAGCCGATCAATATCCTTCAACCCTTAAAGCAGGTGTGTTTTTGTCCAAGGGTGCAAAAACTTTAAAATACATATACAAAGAAAATTATTTAAGGTTTTTTAGGGGTAGCCGTGTACTTAAACCTATAGCTTCAAAATTTTTCTCCATTCACAACCCCTAAAAAATCCCTTAAATAATTTTTTTTTGACAGTATTTTAAAGTTTTCGCACCCCTGGACAAAAACACACCCCCTGCTTTAAGGGTTGAATGATATGTATCGGCTGAGGGCTCATTTGAAAGGGCATGAATTAAGTTTTAATTTCTGATAATAGCGAAATTTTTATCACGTCAGAATTTTGCCCCACAATTTTTCAAAAAGTGCCAAAAGCGCTGTTTTTAGGGGTTTCAACCCCATTTTTTTCAAAAACTTGACGTGATGGAGCATTTTGGACCTCGGATTCGTGTTCAGGGCAAAATTTGCCTTCGGAAACACCTAGTCGCATTCATTATCCCGAAATGATGTAGGCCTGTGTTATTATTGAAAAATGGAATACAATTCTGGGCAAGAATTCAATTATCATTATAAATTACAAAATTCTTCGCAAAAATTCAATTATTTTCAAAAATAACCAATTTTTTTTTTGCAAGAATTCAATTATTTTCAAAAATAACAAAACATTTAGCAGGAAATCAATTCTTTTCAAAATTTATCATCAAATTATTGTCAAAAATTCTATTATTTTCAAAACTTTTAATAAAGTTCTTAAAAAGAATTCAATTATTTTTATAAATAAAAAAATTCTTTGTAAAAATTCAATTACTTTCAGAAAGAACAAAGTTCTTTGCAGGAATTTAATTATTCTTAAATATTTTTTATAAAATTCTTCACAGAAATTCAATTATTTTCAAAAATAACAAAACTTTTAGCAGGAAATTCAATTCTTTTCTAAATTTATATTAAAATTCTTGGTATAAATTCAATTATTTTCAAAACTTTTAATAAAGTTCTTAACAAGAATTCAATTATTTGTATAAATAAAAAAATTCTTAGGAGAAATTCAATTATTTTTAAAAATAACAAAATTTTTAGCAGGAATCCAATTATTTTTTTAAATTTTCATAAAATTCTTCACAGCAATTCAATTATTTTGAATAATTTTAATTAACTTCTTTGAATTCTCGTATAAAATTTTCTAATAAAAATTAATTTCAATTAAAATTTAAGATAATAGCGTGAATTTTTAATAATAATTGAATTTTGAAAAGTTTGCAAATTAAAATTTTAAGAAAATTTGAATTTCCATACTTTTAACCAACAATTCTGTAGAATTAATTTTTTTGAAAAAGTTTAATTGAAGTTTTTTTTTAAATTATTCGAATTTTTTATTTTCTACAATATATTTAATTAAAGAATTTCCGAATAATGGAAATTTCACGTAAAATTGTATTGTAAAGAAATGGATTTAAAAATTCTCAAAAAGAATACTTTTTCAAAAATTATTAAATTTAGAGAAAAAAAATTGGTTAAATTGGTTAAATTAAATTTTGGTTAAAAATTGAAAATAGTAATTGAATTAAAATTATGAAAATAATTTTGATGAAGTTGCAGTAACAATACATATTCTTATAATGTAAAATAATGATTTTATCACACGGTCTGCATAATCGGTCCGTAATTTTTATTTTTGGCAAGTTTGATTCAACTGACTTTAATTTTTCGATATTGTTAGACACCATTGACATTTTTTAAAGATATTGTTGTTCTTTGATTGTTTTTATCATGTGCAAGCTTAATTTTTGAATTATAAAGAGACCCCTATATCTATTTTTTGGTACTAATGTGTGAAGGTCTATATTTCCGGTTTCCGGCTTCTTACTACACTGTTCGTTTTTGCTCGTTATCGTACTCGTTCTTTGTTCACTCAAGTTCTATCTTTTGTATAAAAAGTCTCTATAAATAAATACAACTATAATAATAACATTATTATTCCATCACTTTATTAAATTCTGGCTTCAACAGATATTTACTGATAATTTTTTTTATTTTGAATGATAGGAATAAAATCAGCTTATAAATGACAATCCAGTATCAAATCTTGAATAACAGAATACAAAAAGTAAATTTAACACAAATTTATTAAAAGTAAAATAACAAACTAAGTACAAGAAAGAAAATTTTTAGTGGACACCACTGAGACATTTTGCTTCACTTCTCAATTTTGAAATAGAAAGAAGACTTTATTGTTTAAAACTTATTTTTTATTGTATTTTGTATCTTGTAAGGGAAATATTTGTTCTTTATCAATTAACATTTTGTGAGACAGAGACACTGATGAATTATCATGTATCGTTATTTGTGTGTAACGAATCATAATATAAATCATATAAATTCATTCGCGTGATTTGCATTTATATTTATCAGACTACGTCATTTTAAAAACAGCAATTGACGAATTGACGAATGCTTGTAAGGTCCTGAATAAACTCACTCTGTCGATGGATAAACTAACTTCAAAGGAATCTCTCTAAAACTTTTGAAATTAAATTCATTCAAGTTAAATAAAGTCAACTGCTTTGAATTTGATAAAGTCGTGAGATTTTCCATTACTCGAAATTCTATCGGCTAATAAAGAAATAAAATTTATCATTAATTTTTATGAAATATTCTCTCTTTCTCAATACTTTGAAATTCTGTTCATTTCTCCTCTTTTAAGTTTAAAACAGTTTTTTCACTGATGTGATTTTTCAACGCATCTATAGAGTTAATGACCTCGGGAATAATGACTTTTTCGCTGTATAAAGTATTATTACATTTTCTTATAAACCCTTCGGTTATAACATCAGTTACTCGCCTGGTAGTTATTTCGAACCGTTACTTTATTAACCTTCTCTTGAGCGGTTGCTTTATACCATCAGACAATTTAAAAGACTTTTTCCTGAAATGGTTTATACAGAACTTATAAGCGTTCAACAAACGCATGTGGACCCTTTAAGCCAATTGAAGGTCTAATTAAGTTTATCAGGCTTCATTACCAGTGAACGCTTAGTATGAGAAGTAATTCCAACTTTCTTTTGTTGCAAGCCAAAGGAAGCCAAACTTAATAGAATTTCTACATCAAAGTCCTCATTTCAAATTCAATGCTTTAATTATACACGAGTGAAATTATTATAATTGCAACAGAATATTATTCAAAAGATTTCAGGAAGAAACGTCACACAATATGTATATATGAGGCATTCCATGTCAAGTGATCCGGGTGGAGAAAAATTTTTCTCCAATCGTAGCAAAACTTGGGGCTTTTGTAGTACTAATAGATAGTAATTTTTCGTGAAAATATTTTTTTACCTAGTCCAATATTTTCCGAGGGAGAGGGGGTTAAATTTTTGGGTTTTTCAGTACAATGATTATTTCGATAATTTTTTACTCTTAAACTATTAAACATAAAAATTTGGCAAGGTACATTTTGGAAAGGTTTTTTCATGCTCTTTCGATTGAAAATAAGCATTTAAAAAAAAAAAAATTTTTTGACCCAAAAAAATCAAAATTAAAAATAAATTTTAATTTTTTGGAAAAAAGGTCCCATTTTTTTTTTTTTTTTTTTTTAAACGAAAGCTGAGGTTTTTTCCTAAAAGGACATATAAATGAAAAAGTGGGACAAGAATGTTTAAACATTGAAAAAATGAATTTTCTCGTAAACAGAGCTAAAAACCGGGTTTAGAGAGTAGAAACCTCTGTTTTTCAATGTTTAAACATTCTTGTCCCACTTTTTCATTTATATGTCCTTTTAGGAAAAAACCTCAGCTTTCGTTTAAAAAAAAAAAAAACAAAAAAAATGGGACCTTTTTTCCAAAAAATTAAAATTTATTTTTAATTTTGATTTTTTTGGGTCAAAAAATTTTTTTTTTTTAAATGCTTATTTTCAATCGAAAGAGCATGAAAAAACCTTTCCAAAATGTACCTTGCCAAATTTTTATGTTTAATAGTTTAAGAGTAAAAAATTATCGAAATAAGCATTACACCGTAAGACACCTGGATCACTTGACATGGAATGCCTCATATATGAAAAGAAGTTATAGATGATCTTTTGATAACCGAGGCTACATAATGTATATGGGGCATTCCAGGCCAAGTCGGAAATTATTTTGCTTTTGCATCTCAAATTTTTTTTTAACATTTTTTTTCTTTTAGTACTCTTTGAAATGAGCTACCTTGAATTTTTTCAAATTTTTTCATGAAGCGGTTCAGAAGATACAGATTTTTGAAAAATGACATTTTTTACGTAAATTTTTTTTAAATGCTTATAACTCGGTCAAAAATTAATCAAATTGGACGTTTTTAGAATGAAAAGTTTTGTTTTCACGCCTAGTTTTTAATAAAAATATTTAAAAAAAATTTTTAAATAATTTACGATAAGATTTTAAAGTTTTTAAAATAAAATTTCATTTTTAACAATGTATGTATCGATCAATTTTTTTCAAAATTTTTTGTAAGAAACTAGCACTAAATTAACAATTTTTAAGCCTTGTCCGAATGTGGGCAAACGATGGGATCTATTTATTTTGAAATTTTTGATTTTTATATACACAGTAAAAACGGTAGGACAAACTTGTCATTTGACCAAATCTCAATTTTACACAGAAAGAAGGTTAAGTTTGAAGAGACTCAGTCTGAAAACACATTTGCTGTGAAAAATTTGTGTGATTTTGTCAAATGGCAAGTTAGTCATTTGGCCACCACTGTGTATATAAAAATTAAAAATTTCAAAATAAATAGATCCCATCGTTTGCCCACATTCGGACAAGGCTTAAAAATTGTTAATTTAGTGCTAGTTTCTTACAAAAAATTTTGAAAAAAATTGATCGATACATACATTGTTAAAAATGAAATTTTATTTTAAAAATTTTAAAATCTTATCGTAAATTATTTTAAAATTTTTTAAAAATATTTTTATTAAAAACAAGGCGTGAAAACAAAACTTTTTATTATAAAAACGTCCAATTTAATCAATTTTTGACCGAGTTATAAGCATTAAAAAAAAATTTAAGTAAAAAACGTCATTTTTCAAAAATCTGTATCTCCTGAACCGCTTTATGAAAAAATTTGAAAAAAATCAAGGTAGCTCATTTCAAAGAATACTAAAAGAAAAAAAATGTTTAAAAAAAATTTGAGATGCAAAAGCAAAATAATTTCCGATTTGGCGTGGAATGCCCCATATACTCTAGCTATGTTGAAGAAGTTTCAATTCGTATCGTCGAAAGTCTCTTTGGTAGATAAAAAGTGACTAATACATGTGTATATGTATATTCCAGTTTTCAGACTTCGCACTCGATAATTAATTTTAAAAAAGTAGCAAAAAGTAGCTTTCAAAATAAAAAAAGTAGTAAAAAGTTGCTATCGAAAAAATAAACTTGACGACCAAAAGAACTCGTTTTAGAAACTTCACGCAACTGACAAAAATCTCATTCCATATTTTTTATTTTCCTGACTTTTTCCCAATTTTCATCAAAAATATTTACTTCTTTCTTATTCTACGCTAATAAATTGAATTCCTGCAACGGATTTTATTATTCATCAAAGAATTTAAAAATTTGTAAAAATAATTTCAGTTAATTTAACCATACGAGCGTTGATCTAATCATATGCATGGCAGATGCGATTAAATAGAAGGTTTTTTAACCTACATTTCAGTGACAGCTTAAACATAATTCTCAACCAAAAGTTTATAGCTGAAATTCGGTAAGCATTTCTTTCAGTGTACGTCTGTTATTGTTTACGGAGATTTCTCTTCGTTATTGCTCTTCGTGTATGGAATATAACACTTTTCCACCTTACATTTCTATATATTGTGCAACGACTAGTTTAACAAGGTTTTTTTTTACTTTTCCACATTTTTGCATGATAGTTTTTTTCTCTGTTATAAGTTGTTCACAATTATTTTTTTTCTGATGCTCTATTTTATGTCTTTACGTAACCTGAAAATTGCTTATCTAACTTGTTTGAACAGTTTGATAGCCGTTTACAAAATGTTAGATCTGGTTTTGCTATACATTGTTTTTTATATTACGATTTCGATATACAGTGAAGGCCACTTTGTTGAGTGAATCAATAATTCATTGTCTCAAATTTATCTGTCAAGTACAGATTATTTCATATTGTTGTCAATTTTCTGTTATTCTCTTAATAATATTGTATATGTCGCAAGTTTAAATAAAAAATATATATACTTTCGGCTTACGTAGCTCCACACATCTGAAAAAAAATTGCCCTTTGCAAATATTTGCACAATTATTTAATCTCTCACTTCTTGTAGAGTGTTATTTTTCTCTTTTTTCAAAAATGTGTTTGTCTCTTAATATTCAAGTATAATGAACCCATTAATGTGGCGTATTACAAAAGTGATTAATATTTATCATGTGCGCATTAAACACTTCAGATAATAACAAACATTGGAAATATTTTTAAGAAGCGATAATTAAAAAATACTTTATTTACGCATATATCTTACTCTTCTATCACATGTAGATGCAAAAGACGAAATGTCAGAATATCAAGCTTCGCACTCATCTACTAAACCCTACTATTTACTAGTTTTTTACGTTATGCTACTATTTGGGTACTTTTTCAGATTTCAGTCACTAAAAGCTCCTATTTCTGTTTTTTTTAGAATTTCTACAACTTTAAATTCGCTAATACTAGAAATCAAAAAACTATTGTCAAAAATTTTAATCAAATTCTTTAAAACGATTCAATTATTTAAAAAAAATACTCCAAATTCAATTATTTTCAATATTTAGTATTTTCATAAAATTTCGTAAAAGAATTCAATTATTTAAAAAAAAATTGATAAAATTCATCCAAAAATCAATCATTTTCATAAATTAATCAAATTTTCACTGGAATTCAATAAATTTAGAATAGCATTATCAAAAAAATTTCGAAAAAATCAATTATTTAACAAAATTTTTATACAATTTTTCACAATAATTCAATTACTTTTACTAATAATATTTTTCATGGAAATTCAATTTCTGAAAAAAATTTTTGATAAAATTCTAAGCTAGAATTCAATTATTTTTATAAATAATAAAACTCATCAATTTAAAATAAAATTTTCATAGTATTTATTATAGAAAATAATTGAATATTCGTGTAAAACTTTGGTAGAATTGTTTTTAAATAATTGAATTCTTTTCGTAAATTTTATGAAAATAGTAGAATATTGAAAATCATTGAATTAAGAAATTTTTTTGAAAATAATTGAAATTTTGCAATGAATTTTATGAAAATTTTTGAAAATAATTGAATTTTATTTTATTTTTTTTAAATAATTGAATATACTTGTGATGAATACTATTATGTATGAAAATAATTAAATTTTGCAATGAATTTTATCAAAATTCCTGAAAATAAATAAATAATTGAATTTTGTCGAAGAATTTTGCTATTCATTTATAAAGATAATTGAAATGTTGACGAAATTTTTTTTTAGATTTTTTGAAAATAATTGAATTTCTGCGAAGAATTTTATTAATTTTTAAAATAATTGAATTCTTATGATGAATATTGTTATTTATGAAAATAATTGAGTTTTACAATGAATTTTATTAAAATTATTGAATAAAATTGAATTTCAGTGAAGAATTTTTATAGTTATGAAAATAATTGAAATATTGAGAATTTTAAAAAAAAATTTTGAAAATAATTGAATTTCTAATAAGAATTTTAATATTTATTAAGATAGTTGAATTCCGCAAAAATAGACATTGCTTCCAGAAATTTTGCAGAATTTTTTACAGAATTCTGAACTGAATTTCCGTACAGCCGTTTCAAGTTAGTAGGACTGCGTCATAAATAAATTGAAGCAGGAAAAATATTGACTTGAAAGGACCGAAAATACATTTTAAAATTGAAAATTATTTTCGTGTATGTTTATAAATCTGGCAACGTAGGAAAGACACTGATGTGAGTGTTGACCTCCCCTGAAAAACATCTGTCTAGGAGAGGACCTGCCACGCTCGTTACGATGCCATTGAGTTTTCAATTCTTTTTTCCAGAGAGCACAGACTCCGTGACCGTGGCTTTTTATAACGCACATGCTTCTTCTGCGTTTTCTCTGAATTTCACATTCAAAATTACTCTAAAGTCATATAGTGAATAAATTTTTTTATCCACAATGACAACAATGTAAGAAAGAATAAATTTTTTACCTGAAATTAAAAATGAGTGGATTTTTTTAAATAAAGAGATAATATATGAATAAGTACTATCCCAAACTTTTAATGGTTTTTATAAGATTGTTTATAAAAAATGTTTCAAGTTAACACTCAATCTTATGTAGATAGGTGTTTTTATTGAAAATATGTCGTCTCAAGTATGTTGTACTTAAATATTTCAAGAATATATTTCCAGACTTGTTTATTTAAAAAATGAGAAGTAAAATCGGAAACACTCGCAATGGCAACGTTGCATTTTCATGTTTCCACTGAAGAGCGTGTAAATTTAAAAGGGATATGTTGCTCATTATGTTTTAATGTTAGGCTTACATTATGGAAATGTACATATATACATTTCTATAAACCTAATTAAAAATATAATAAATATTCATCAATGAAATAAATCATTCAATAATAAATATATAAAATAATTTATTAAATAAGTTTTTTCCAAAATTTTAATAACAATAACGATAAAAATAGTACACATTCTAGCGACGAACGAAGAACGAAACTTTGGAAGTAATATAAAATAATATAGAGCAATTCCATGTGAACTAAGCCAATCAAAAAAGTTAGATGTTAAGGGACATATGGTTATAATATATTCAAATTGACATAACTTCTCCAAAAGTCAAGCGATTTTAATTTTTATATAGTGAATTTTAAAGGATTTTTATTTTTTTATCTACTTTTTAATTTTACAACGCTTTTTTCAAAACTTTCAAAAAAAAAAAAACTTTGCAACCCCTCTTTTTGGAAAAGTAAACCTTATTTTTCAATTTCTACAAAAACTACCTCTTTTTATGACATTATTAAGTTTAGAAATCCTAATGGGGAAGTTTATGGTAGGCTACGAGAAAGCCAATCTGTTTTAAAAATACTGCAACACAAGGCTTGTGCAATGTAGAGATCTTTTTATTATTATAGAAGAGCGAGCTGACATTGTCTGAACTGTTATTATGCTTTAAAAACATAACATTCAAACTTTAAAAAACTCTGTAACCTGAAATAAAATTTCTACTCGAAATAATATTTTTATTCTACACTATTAAAAAAATCAATAATAAATTTCATATACATGTGTATGAAGCAAATATATGTAGTACAGTTGAATTTTAATGATGAATTTTAATATACTAAAATTTAAGGTACATGAATATTAAATTTAAAAATATGAAAAAATGAAACATTTGTGTTGACCGGGATTCTATAATATTGGTTCTGCGCGTGCGTCAAAGTTTCATGTACTGTACAGTAGAACCTCTCAATAGTACAATTTAGACAAAAATAAAAAAATACCAGGGTGTCTACTATTTTCGTTCAACGAAATTCTCGGTTCGGTTATTTCCCGACTTTGTCCAAATTTTTCCCGGTTTTTTTTCAAAGAATATTATTTATGAAAATAATTGAATGTTTGGGTAGAATTTTATTAAAAATTTTTTAAATAATTGAATTCTGGAGAACAATTTAATTATTTATAAAGATAATTGAAATTTTGAGGAGAATTTAAAAAAAATTTTAAACATAATTGAATTTCTGCAAAGAGTTTTATTACTTTTAAAAATAATTGAATTGTTTTTTAGAATTTCATGGAAATTTATGAAAATAATTGAATTCTTGTGAAGAACATTTTTTAAAAATAATATTCAAAAGAATTTAGTAAATCTGAAGAATATTGCTATTTATGGAAATAATTGAATTCTTGAGAAGAATTTTTTTTACAGTTTCTAGAAATAATTTAATTTTTTCGGCAAATTGAATAAAATTTAAAATTTTTTAATTTAAAAAAATTTTTTTTTTAATTTTTCGAGGAATTTGATTAAAATTAATATTAAAAATAATTGAAATTCTGCAATGAGTTTCACTATTTATGAAAATAATTGAATATATTGCGAAGAAATGTTTAAGAATAAAATTATAATAATTACGGTGACTAACTTGCCTTGATTATTTTCGAAAAATTTAAATAAAATTCTTTAAAAGAAGTTATTTATTTTTAATAGAATATAAAGAAATTTAAATTATTTCAAAAATGTTTAATTATTTGTTTATAAAAATTCAATTATTTTCAAACAATAGAATTGAAAAATTTCAAAAATCATATTCTTCAGAATTTTCAAAAAAACTTTGCGAAAATTCAATTTTATTAAAAAATTTGAAGTGTGTTTCTTAATTTAAAATAACTAATAAAAATTTTAATTATTAATCTTCACACAAAGAAACATGAATACATTAGAATGTGACTCTTTATGAAATTCAATTATTTATCAATTATTAAATTAAAATACTTTGAAAATTCGATTTGTTAAAAAGTTTTTAATGAAATTCTTTAACAAATTTAATTATTTTTAGTTGAATTTCACAAAACTTCTATTAATTCAATCATTTTTTTTAAATTTATTTACATACTATATTTGAATCGGTGACTGATTTTTTACTATCAAATTAATTATTTTTAACTAATTGAAATTTAGAGAACAGTATAAATGGGCAATTCCATGTGAGATTTAAGTCGATCTCTTAAAATCGGCCAAAAATATTTTTTTTCTATTCTGTATCGAAAAAAAACAGATACGTATTTTTTTATTTATGTTTAATTGTCTAAATTTTCGAGTTATGAATTTTCGAAAATTTGGACTTTTAATTGTAGACCTATATTCAGTAGCTTATAAGTCCGAAAATATTGAGTTTAGGAAAAAGTTGTCAAAAAATGAAAGTTTTAGTTTTCTTTCGACTTTTAAGAAATGTAAACAAAAAATTTTTTATTGAAAAAAATTTTTTTTTTTATAAACAAATTAATTTTTTTTAACTTTGGGCCAGATTTTTTTTTATTTTTTTTTTATTTTTTTGTACCTTATAATATAGAGAAGATTTTGCAAAAAGTCCCGAAATGGGCCTGATGTGTTAAATGAGTTTTAAAATATTTTCAAAAATCAATTGCAAGCATCACAGTGGGATTTTTTTACAATTAACTTTCTAAAACTGTCTACAGCGTATAATTTTTATTAAATTTGAGTGTTCTTTGTTTTAAATAAAAGGGTTTACGCTGTAAACAGTTTTAAAAAGTTAAATGTAAAAAAAATCCCACTGTGATGCTTGCAAGTGATTTTTGAAAATATTTTAAAACTCATTTAACACATCAGGCCCATTTCGGGACTTTTTGGAAAATCTTCTCTATATCATAAGGTACAAAAAAATAAAAAAAAATAAAAAAAAATCCGGCCCAAAGTTAAAAAAAATTAATTTGTTTATAAAAAAAAAATTTTTTTTTCAATAAAAAATTTTTTGTTTACATTTCTTAAAAGTCGAAAGAAAACTAAAACTTTCATTCTTTGACAACTTTATCCTAAACTCAATATTTTCGGACTTATAAGCTACTGAATATAGGTCTACAATTAAAAGTCCAAATTTTCGAAAATTCATAACTCGCAAATTTGGACAATTAAACATAAATAAAAAAATACGCATCTGTTTTTTTTCGATACAGAATAGAAAAAAAATATTTTTGGCCGATTTTAAGAGGTCGACTTAAATCTCACGTGGAATTGCCCAAATATATCTATAAAAATTGAAATAAAAAGCGATTTTTTAAAAACAAATTAAAATAAAACTTTTTTTAATTTGGTGAAAAAATTGCCGCTTTGGCATAAAATTCCTGGCTTATTCCTGGTCAAATTAAATTCCCGACTGTTTCAAGGATTTCACGGTTAGTAGACACCCTGTAAATACGGATTTCATATTTATCTATAAAGAACGAGAAAAAATATATGCAACCGAATTTAAAACTTATTCCTGTTTGAAAAGTCTTCCACGTAAAAAAATAACTGAAATTTCACTTATTTTAAGTGAATATGCACCTATTTTTTTACGTGGAAGAGTTTTCAGTTTTTCACTTATTCATATTTAGAGATGTAGTTATTATATAAACTCAGGTGTATAAAATTATTCAATGTTTTTGAATATTAAGTAAATTTCAAAATTTTCACTATGGAGACTGTTACCCAGTGAGAAATTGCCAATAGACTTTAATCGGTCCAATATCGGTCCAATATTGGTTGCCGTGCTGGGCGCCGATTGACTCCCAATATTGGACCAATATGGGCTGATGCTTGGGATGTAACGGCATCGCCAATCATCGGTTGTCAATATTGGTCCAATATTGGCCGAATATTGGCAACCAAGAGAAAAAAATTTTTTTAAATAAATTTTTTTTAATTAAATAATAATAATAAAAAATTAATGTTTATAATTTTTTTTTATATATTTATTTGTTTAATTATTTATTTTTAATAATTCATGTAAATAATAAATAATTTATTATTTATAAATTATAATTATTTAAAAATGCAGCAGCTATTAGAAAATAGCATTCTGCAAAAAAATTCTATCATTGAAAAATCAATGATAGGCGAGAGAAATCCGCGTCTTTAAATAGATTCGCAGATGATAGACAAGAGATATCCGCGTCATTAAACGGATTCGCAGATATACTCTGGTCTCGCGACGAATCTCTCGATACTTATATACACTGGAGTCGCCGTGTCAGTTGCGAGAACGGTTACAGCGTCCCTCTTTCGGCGGAGATAAGAATTGTCACGTAAACTGCTAAATCGCTTTACCGACCGCCTTATTATACCCGCAGTTTACGTGACAATTCTTATCTCCGCCGAAAGAGGGACGCTGTAACCGTTCTCGCAACTGACACGGCGACTCCAGTGTATATAAGTATCGAGAGATTCGTCGCGAGACCAGAGTATATCTGCGAATCCGTTTAATGACGCGGATATCTCTTGTCTATCATCTGCGAATCTATTTAAAGACGCGGATTTATCTCGCCTATCATTGATTTTTCAATGATAGAATTTTTTTGCAGAATGCTATTTTCTAATAGCTGCTGCATTTTTAAATAATTATAATTTATAAATAATAAATTATTTATTATTTACATGAATTATTAAAAATAAATAATTAAACAAATAAATATATTAAACAAAAATTATAAACATTAATTTTTTATTATTATTATTTAATTAAAAAAAATTTATTTAAAAAAATTTTTTTCTCTTGGTTGCCAATATTCGGCTAATATTGGACCAATATTGACAACCGATGATTGGCGATGCCGTTACATCCCAAGCATCAGCCCATATTGGTCCAATATTGGGAGCCTTTATTGGACCGATGATCGGTCTCTTGGCTCCCAATATTGGACCGATATTGGACCGGTGAGAAATTTCTCACTGGGTAAGTATTAATAGAGAGTAGAATGTTTTAATAAAATTAATAGACATCCAAAATACTTCTTTTAGAGCCACATATACAATAACGCTTTTTTATTTTTTTTAGAACTTCTGACGGGTGGTTCATTTTTCCCTTAAAGTAGTAACTTTAAGGAAACAATCCCTTTCAGTATTTTGCAGGTACATACCTTAAAGAAAATTAGTTGGATTTCTTTATTAATCTAAAGTACTAAAGGATTTTTTTTACTTCTTTCTTGAATTTTCTCAAGGTAAAGGCAATAATATTTGAAGAAGAAAGATTTTTCAGTGCTTGACGATTTTCCAGGGACTGATCAAGAGCGGAAAAAAATGCCGTAGCGATCTTTCAAAATTGAGAGCCTTCTCGAAGGAGAGCCGAGTAAAATTGAGGTTGGTGGATGTTCTTTGTCTGCAGAAACGAAGGTGCGCCGTGCCATTATGGATTTCTCAATAAAGGAAGCTCAGGTAGGTGTATAGTCATGACAAAAAAACTGAACCGAATTTAAAAACGTGCATGAACCAGTAGAATTTTTGTAAAGGATTCCTTTAGAATTCAATAAAGAATCGTAAAGAATATCCATTTTCAACCAAGATTTACAAGCAATTCTAGTTACGCGATAAAAATATTACTTATACAAAGTAAAAGTTAATAATCTCAGAATTATGAATATACAACTTTAAAAAATGACTTTCCAATAAAATTTGTGCCAGGAACTATAAAGAGGATGTTGCCGTCTATCAAATGTCAGATAGACTATAGGAAGTATAATTTGCACGTAAAGTTTAGATTTATCGAGTAGCAATGGGAAACGTCATTGATTAATCGGGAATCAATTCTGAATTGCTATTTTTTTATTGTGTAAGAGTCTCAACATTTCTTGCAGGTCAGAAACGTGGGCAGCATAGAACTGGAGCGTCTCCTGTTTACTTCAAGTGACGGGCACTCGTTTCCTTTGCTTTCACCACGAGTCGACGTACAGTTCACGACATTAATATTTCGCCATATAAATTTCCAGCAGTGTATGAGTCGAAAAAGAAACTAAACAAATACTTAAAGTTTAATACTTCTTAACAGTGATCAATTAAATTTACCACATCAGTGAATGTGTCAGTTAAAAAAATCTTTTTTGTCAAAATTTTTTTTCTGATTATTGTCGACGTTCAAAGTTATAAAACTTGTATAACTGCGTCACGTCCTCGTGATGTGTATTAAATTATATTTTTTACATAATGAAATTAATTTGTTCTAAAATCATCAGGGTTGCCACAAAAATTTAACTTTGTTTTTCCCTGAATTTTTCCTGATTTCCAGACCGAATTTTGACTTTTTCCCTGACGCTGAAGAATATTCTGATTGACTCCAAAAATTATTGGATACTAAAAAAAATGTTCTATTACATTTATTTAACAAGTTCTTTAATTATAAAATTATTCAAAAACATCAATAACTTCTTTTTTAAATAAATACTAGCAACAAATCGCGCGGCTAACTTCTTACTACTTTTTTTAAATAAAATTAGCAATTTTAAAAATAATAAAATTTCAAAATTTAAATTTAAATTTTTGTTATACTAAAAAAAATTCAATTTTGTAGAATTTAAAAATAATTGCAAAAATTCTTTAAAAGAAAATAAAATTCTTCTTATTAAATTCAACTATGTTCAAATCTTGAGAAAAATTCTCGTAAAAATCCCAATTATATCTTTATAAATAACAAAATTCTTCTCTAAAGTTCAATTATTTTCAGAAATTTTTCTAATTTTAATGATTTTCAATATCTACGATTTTAATAAAATATTTTCCAAAACGAATTCAATTATTTAAAAAAAATTTTAATTTGAAATTTTAGAAAATGACAATTTTAGTACTTTATAGTACTTTATTACTTTGGGAGCGTTCACAAATGATGTCACGCTTTTGGGGGTAGGGAGGGGGGTCTCTACTAAACGTGACACAATGTATTTTTCTCATGTGAAATTGCAAAAATTGCGTGACAGGGGGGAGGGGGGGGGGTCGAAAATCTCCAAAAAATTGCGTAACATCATTTGTGAACGCTCCCTTTTCAAAAGATTTCAATTCTACTGATGAATTTTGGGTATGGAGTCAAAAGTTCCAAAACAGAAGTTCCAATTCCGAAGGATCCAAATTATTATTTTCCCAAATGATATTTTTTCCAAAGTATTATTTTTCCAAAGGCCATTTTTACCAAAGTATTATTTTTCCAATAGTCGTTTTTTCCAAACATTGTTTTTTTTTATTTTTTAAATTTCAAATCAAAAATTTCATTCAACGTGTGCTCATTCCAAAATTATGTTGTGAAATTAAATTTTTTTTTCAAATTTAAAAATAGTAAACAGTGAAATTATATTAAATTGTAAATTAGTAAAATTAGAAATTTTATTTAAACTATAAAATAGTGAACAGTGAAATTATATTAATTAAATTGTAAATTAGTAAAATTAAAAATTTTATTTTAATTTAAAATTTTATTTAAACTATAAAATAGTGAACAGTGAAATTATATTAAATTGTAAATTTTAATTATGGTAGAATTAATACAAGTCGAAAAAAAATTATTTACATATCGAAGGATTTCTGTATTACAAGCATTCAGATAGAAAAAATAATGTGAATTATTGGAGATGCCTTATTTTTTCAAACAACTCCAATACTTTTCACTTATTTAACAATTCAACACTTTTTATTTTGGAAATTTTTTTTGGAAATTTCACACATTGGTAAATTTATATTTTGGACATTTTGGACTTTGGAACTTTTGTACTTTGGAAAAATAAATTTTGGATCTTTTCATTTTGGAACTTTTTTCTTGGAATTTTTCGATTGGAACTTCCGTTTTGGAACTTTTGTACCCCAATCGAATTTTGATATTTGAGGCTCCGGATCTTAAAAGGGCACTTTTACCATTTAAAATCAATGCTGAAAGTGCCATTTTAAGATCTGGAGCCTCATTTATCAAAATAATTGAATTTTGGAAAAGAATTTTATTAAAATTCCTTTAAATAATAATTGACTTAATGTGGAGAATTTTGTTGTTCCCCAAGATAATTGAATTCTTTTGCTAAATTACAAAAAAATTTTTGAAAATAATTGATTTCCTGCGACAAATTTTATTATTTTAACGAATAATTGAATGTTTCTTAAAATTCAATTCTTTCGTCGAGTTTTAATAAAATTTTTAAGAATAATAAATTATTGCATTTTTCAAGGTATTTTCGTGGTAATTTCATAGTTTTATGAGGCAAACAAAAAAGACACTAGAAATTCAGAATTTTCTTATGAATTCTAAAATTTTAATTTTTTCTAGTCGTACTTTTAATAAATTCCTCACTTTTCCCTGAATTCCCTGATTTCCCTAACAATATTTTAGAATGGCTTCTTATAAAGAAAAAACAGAGTTTGCAACTATTGATTCTGTGATTATAAGCCAAAAACAATTCATTTCAAATAAAATGACCTTAAATTGTTGATTTTTGCAACTATTTTTTTAATTTTTCAGTGAATTTTTGAATGGTGGCCACCCTGGGGCCACTTTTTTTTAAAGCAAAATTTCAGCTGTTTTTCCAAAGTCGTCTAAATTTTATTTTCCTTAGTAAAATAAAAAAATTTGTTTGCTAAAAAGTTAGCTAAGGAGATACAATTTCAGGGCATATATTATTAATTATGATATATAATACCGTTTAGGAATTACAGTCGTTCAAAAGATTGGTGGCCACCATGGGGCCCCTTACCCTACATTTTTCTAACTACACATATATGTGGTTGTTTTTACCATTCGCATTTTTTTCTGTGTATAATTTTCATTAAATAAAGATTTTTGTGCTGTTAATATGAAATTTTATCATTTAAGTATGCAGTTAAAAATATAAAGATTACTTAGAAATTTATTTAAAAAATTACATTTTGATCATTCTTTTTCAATCCTTAAAATGATGTGTCATTCCATAGTAAAATTAAACTTTTTTTTGTTCTTGAAAATCAACTTTTCGAGGCAAAACATTCTTAATAAGACAAATTTCACTTATTAAAAGTTATAATTTGTTCTCTCTTATAAACTTGTAATAAGTGATTTATTAAACGAGAGAACGTCTTATAACTATAAGAGAAATTTTACTTACACAGATTTCGAGAACATATCGAGAAATTTAATTTTTCAAATTGACTGTAGAAGAGAAGTATTCGATATTGATATTGAAACAACAAATTTCCAGCTCATTAACTCCCTAATTCAGATATAGAAAATAAATTTTAGAAAATGCTAGAAAAATGCTGCAATTTGGCTTGATTGCTTTCTTATTCTTGAGCAGAGGATTCGGCAACACAATATAATGACTCCAGGCATGATTCACTACCACCAAACACAGTTTTAATCTTGCTCCATGAGAGATTAATTATTTTCCTTACACGCACTGTAGTCTGTCGACTCAACCATCCTTTTTGTTTTCAGACGAGGACCCTTTTGCCTAAAGTTCCCCCAATGACCTTCAAAAAAGTCTAGAATATGCGAAGGTGGACTCTTTTGTGCCTTTATCTTTTGAAAATATTTTTTACCGACTTTTCTCTTCAGACTCCTACAGAGGTAGAGGAGAAAAATATTTCAAATAATGAATTCATTTTACACTATCCTCTTCATGTCTTCATTGTTTCATTAGTTTTATTTACGAAAATCGTGAATCAGTTGGAAAGTTTATTCTCTTGTGACGACGTTTTTAAACTTTTGTTAATTCTAGAATGTATAATCATTTTTACAAAGTGTTTACCATTACAATTTCGTTTATTGAGCGAGTTTCATTTGCATTAGCGATAACCCAAATGATTTCTAAATTTTCCTTTAAAGTGTATTAGCCTCTTGAATGAAAACAAAGTGTAAAATAATAAGAAAATACAATTTCTAGAATTGTGAAAAAAATTGCAAAAATTCCAGTCTCTTTATCTCAAGGAAAAAATGATAAGAAAAATGTGGAATACCTCTCTCTTCGAGTCCCTGTATGCTAATCGTTTGATAGTTTTATCATTTGTGTAAAGTATAGAATTTGAATAAATGTGTGTTTTACGTTGAAAATATTATTGATAACACTCAATTGTTGATACGTACGTCAGAAAACTGTCATTTAACATAAATTTCTCATAAAATATAAAAATACAAAAGTAATCAAAAAAATGTTAGAAATTGTTAATTTAATCGGTGAAAATTCTATTCTTTAGGATTTTAGTTTTAATGTGAAAAAATATACATGAGGGTAAGATTTCCTGCATCACTCGCGGTATCATATGGAAACTGAGATGGAACTCGATCTTACATACATCGTTTGAAACTTGAGTATCCGTTCCTGTCGTTAGAAGCCAGAACAAACCTTCCACCTTCCTGGCATACACTCTTAAGATCTAACGGGCATATTATTCGTGCACTATAAAACATAGTCTTATTATTTTCATACCAAGTACCGCGGATTTTTAAGATAGATGTGCAAGTTAAAGTAGACCGTATCAACTTTAGGCTTTACTGCTTCTTTCACGTGCCGTTGTTATTGCATTTCACTGAAAAATTACCTACAATATCTTGTAACAAAACTTTTAAGGGGACACTCCCTAAATCTGAATTAGTAGAAAGTTATTAATATAATGACGAACCAAATGATTTAGTATAACTATATCATAATATGTCAAGATTCATTCAAAATATAAAAATCAATTATAACTTAACATAAAAAGAGAAAAAACTTTTCGTGGCGCATGATTATTCCCCAAATGTCATTTGACCGAACTGACATTTTACCGAATCGCATTTATCCGAACTGTTATTTTAACGAAATGCCACTTTTGCGAATCGCCATTTTTATACGAATTACCATATTTGCGAAAAGTCATTTTTGCAAAATATAATTTTTACAAATCGTTATTGTTCCGAAATGTCATTTTTTCGAATTGTCATTTTTACTCCGATTCGAAGACTCGGAGTGATCGTTTTCTTCATGTTTTATAATAATTTAAATTACCATAAAATTTTTCAAAAAAAATTTAATTTTTTACAAAAATGCTAATAAAATTCTTCCCAAAAATTCAAATATTATTACAAGAAGTAAAATTTTTCAAAAGAAATTAATTATTTAAAAAAAAATGTAATAAAATTCGTTGCGAGAATGCAATTATTTTGATAAATAAGTCGATTATTCGGAAATTCATTTTAAAATCAATTTTTAATAGAAAATTCTTCTAAATATAATTGATTTAAATATA